CCATTCTGACAACATGGTCGATCGAGGATTATTGTATATTAATAGCGGGGTTGTCCTGTCGATTCGTGTGCGACTAGTTAATTTTAAATTATTTTTTAACAATTAAATCAAGTGGAGATCTCACCATTACCAGATCCAATTGAAAGAACTCTTATATCTCGATGTCGGTCAACATTCAAGAATCTGTTTAAAATTGCCTCAATATCTTGTGCCCATTCTGCACCGGAAATCGCGTTGAACCCATGGCGTTTGATTGCATCATATGCTGGGAAGAATTCTGGATAATTCACCAATGACGTAATTCCCTCCCTCGTATCGCCAGCGGTCCAGACTTCTTGCATATTGGTTCTCATCCACCCCCGGGTATCCACGCCAGGGCAACTAGTAAATAACTGTCAGTAAACCAACTACATTGCACGTGATTACCCAGAATCCTACCCGGTTTGTGGAATACGTGGATATGTTTCGTGCACTCTGAAAACGAATTTCTGAATATTTCGATGTTTTACTAGACTATAAACCATCTATTATAGCATGAGACATGAGAATGTAAGATAAGGGCGCTCGGACAGTTACTTCGGCCTGGGGGGGGGGGGTCACCATGATTTCTAGAATTCACACACACGCTTATGTATATATATATTTTTTAATTTATTTCAGAACAAAAAATAAAAAAGTTAATCCTACAAATGTGTTCTCAATAATAACTATTAACTATTGCCTATAATTTTTAGGCTAAATATTTTGGGGTTGAAGTTGTCAAATAACTAACAGATTATGCAATGCGGCTTGAACCCCAATTATACTGTCAAGTTTTAAACACATTCCAAGTCTATGTGCTGCTGATATCAGAGCGTTTTATTTAAAGTCTGAAGTCACCATTGTATAAGATATTTACTGGATTTATCCAATTATAACAGGAGACGGAAAGACAACACAGCAATTAGTACAAAGAGCTGTGACAGATTTTATTCAGCAAATCAAAAAAGTTAAATTTGTGAACATCAACATCTTGAAAGTGAGAAACTTGACTCTATAAATGAGACATTGTTGTCAATGAGATAGGGAATACTGATATTTCTGATTCTGAGACTGAAAATATTGAAGATAACAGTAATACATTTATTACTAGATCAGGAAGTAAGGCAGGTACGTGGCGACATGCTATGGACCGTGCAAGCAGGTATGGGGAGATTGACAGTGAGAGTAATAGTGGTTCAGAGGCTGATTCAAGCAACCAAGGATTCAGAAGCTAAAAGTGATGAAGAGAGTCATATTGGAGTACTTATCACATAACTAGGTCTGGGGGAAGGGCAGGAACATGGAAATATTCTTTTTTAGATTATCTTACAAAATATGGTAAGGTCTAAAAATTATGTAAAAATTACGTCAAACCATAATATTTTCACTGCACAGATGTTTAACGTTTCTTTGTTTGTTTTTTCAGGGGGGGGTCAGCATGTTTTAAAATATAATGATGGGGTGAGTCAACTGAGATTTACAGCTGGCAAAATGGAATCTGCCCCCACGGCCGAAGTAACTGACTATGTATTCATCTTGATCATCTTACCATTGAATTCTACTTTGGCCGAAACGTCCGTCCACCGTGTACGTACCCTGGGGACGAATAGCACATCAACGTAATAATAAGAAATTATTTGCGTGTGACTCCATGACATGATACATGAATAGTAACCGTAATTGTTCAAAACATCCAGACGTTATGAACAGTGACGTAGCGAGGGAGGGGGACATAGACGTTCATTAATAGCATATAATTGACCCGTGATTATTTCATTCACGACTTTCTGTATTGATAAAGTAAAAACTAGTAAAATTAAACTACATGTAATTTACGAGTAATAACTGATATTTTGAAAATACAATGTTTACAATTTTACTGTAAATTGATTCTTGATTAAGATTATTTAAATTTATCACATATTCCTGTGATATGCTTTGTCTTGTAGTAGCTACGAATAAACAGTCTAAAATGTATTTGATTTGCAGTGTCGCGATATTGGAAAGGAAGCGTTGTCTCAACACCGGTGTTGTACGGGTTGGACCATTTGATTTTTGAGGGGGGTCATAATAAAAAAAATTGCGAAGTGAAGAGTTTTTCAAAAATAAAATTGTTGCTTCACCAGTGTAAACAAAATATTTGTCACTATATGACTTAAGGAAAAAATGTTTCCATCAGCTGTTGTCGTGTCATCTCTGAACACGGTAGATTCACTTGAATTACTGCGTCATAAGAATGTGCCAATTCTTCCTGCCAAGATAAGGGGGCACATAGTACAAAAAGAAACTAGGTCATATATAAATGGATGTCAATGTTTCTCAATCTGGTCTGTGGATTAATTAATAGCAGAGGGAAAATTAATATCTGCATTTCAATATTAATTTCAAAAACAATTTCACTCTGGTTGCATTTAGCTTGTATACCATATATGCTCTATTAGAAGAGCATCTCCAATAAAAGCACATGTACAGCAACAATTGCATTGATTGTATACTGATTTATTAGAATATGATGTATTTTTACCATAGAAACACCTCTGTTATTTACATAAGAGCATGCGCTACTAATAGACAAATACGGTATTGCATGCAACAAATCTTACAATTTAGCTGTTTTAGTTTAAATACATTTTACAGACTAAAACAGAAATATTGTTAGAAAAGTTGCTTGCAATATTGCTGACTGCTGTAAAATACTTTATTTTCTCTGGAAATAATTTTTGCTGAAAACAGCTTTCTGGCATAGTGTCGATCTGATTTTCACTATGTTGTATTAAGACTCAATGCAACGTATAGAGAAAGCTGCATTTTCACTGGAATTTTGCAGAAAATAAAATGCCAGTGCAAGTAAAGCATTCCACGGTATGTTATGTAACCACAATAATAGACAAGATACATTCATGATTGTATGGAACCATGTTTTATTAAACAAGTAATAAATAAAATAAACAAATCATGCATGGCACAGTCTCCGTTAGTTATTGAATTTAAGATATATAGTTTTGTTTATAGTAATATAGCTGGAATATAACTATCAGGAATATGATTATGATGATTGTTTAACATTAAAATGATTGACATATGTATCTGATCGTCAAACAAGCACTTGTCCACATTAAGAAATATTGCTCTGGAACAGCATTAATTAAAAACAAGATCAGCCATTTTGAATACATGTATTTATCTATAACATGATGTATGATGAATATATAAAATTTGAACATAATCAGTCAAAGCATGTCAGAGATATGGCTCTAGAAGCCCATTCATTAAAACAAAATGGCCGCCATTTTGAATCCGATCTGAAAAATAAAATGACGTGCATCACGAACTCGTAATGTCTAATGTATGTTATAAGTTTTAACGAAATCCATCCAGAAATGCTTGATATTTGATGATTTTTTTAGCACGAAAATGGTCATTTTTAATAGGATCGTCAAACTAATATATCTGAATATCTATGACATGATGTATAATGAATATTTAAAATTTGAATATAATCAGTCAAAGCAAGTCAGGGATATTGCACTAGAATCACACTAATTAAAACAACATGGCCACCAGTCAGCCATTTTGATTCTCAAGGTCCTATAATGTTTAATTTATATACCAAGTTTGAACAAAATCTATCTGTAAACAGCTGAGAAATGGATAATTTTGATGATTTTTCAGTACAAAAATGGCTGCCATTCGGCCATCTTGAACCGGATCGTGAAACAATGTGCATAGGTATAATGTCATGTATGATGTATGTGTGAAGTTTGATTGTGATTGGTCCAGGCATTTCTAAGATACAGGTCCGGACGCACGGAGGTTACAATATAAGTCCTCGTTTTTGGACTGCGTCCGAACAGGGACTAATAAAATGTAATAAAATAAACATTAAAATAAATGAGAAACATTCATTCTCACCACCCACCTCATTTTCACAAACCATTCCACTCTCACCACCCACCTCACCCACACCTACCATCTCATTCTCACCACCCTCCTCACTTTCACCAACCATCCCACTATCACCACCCACCTCAGCATTCAGATATGGAAGGAGAGGATAGATGTTGTATGATGGACTGAGGGACCAACCCTTATCAAAGTACCAATCCATACCTGGCAGTAAAATATCAAGTCTTTGATACCTCCGTTGAAAATGATGAAAAAAAATGTTGGATATGGTGGCTTCCTAAAAAAAAATTGCAAGCAAACCTACTGATGAAAAAAAAATTCCAAACACATACAAAAAAATTGCCTTTCACTGAGCTGACCCCCCTCAAAAATCAAATGGTTCAACCCTAAGAACGCCGACCTGCGGCGTCAATGGGAACAGCCACAACACATACATCGTCCTGCGCATGTGCGATCAGACTTAGTAAGCTGTGCATGTTTTAATTTCGTTTTATTATCCACCCTGTGTGGGACAGTTTCACGGAGTTTTCGGCGATATCAGTGTAAATTTTTACTGAAAAGGGTACGTATGAATACATGAGGTTATTTTTGGTAAGACAATTTGCATGGACATACGTATTATGGCCTTAACCGTACGTTTAGACGTACTGCCGTGGTGAGGGACAATCGCCATTGGATTAATCAATGACCTAGCCGTAAAGCCAACCCTGTGAATGTAAGGTTGATCGTTTTCACTGGGACCTTGTCGGCACTGTATCGGCGTACCGTCAAGTACTAATGTAAAAGTCAGGTACACAAGACTTCGAATGCTCTACCCAAGGAACCACGACGACGTTGTATTTATTTGGCGATCGATGTTTATGCTCGGCTGTGGGCAGTGGGCGACCCACTCAAACGATCACTCTTAGCCGACGAGTGAATGTAAATATTGCACTTTCTTTCAACGTTTAGATCTAGTAACAAGCATTTCCCATAGATTCAGCGTAGCTGCCTTGACAGTTTATCGATTTATTAAAAATAGAACTTACATAAACATTGAAGGTTGAAGCGCGTGCAGACGTCGTTATTAATTAATTCACGCGTGAGTTCAATTTGCATACATTTCGAATTTTGGCATTACATTTAGAGATTCATATTGCCTGCTGTAGTGTTCCACGAACACATTAATTCGTGCCTCGAAATACGAAGTTTATTCTAATATACGATGTATCAGTGTTGTTTTGCTATTATATTCACTATATCCATACATAATTGGCAATAGAACAAATATGATAGTTCTGTGGTGAACATTTATCACAATTGCTGACGTTCGACCCATAGCTTGTCAGAACATTCAGTCGCATAAAAAAGTGGAAGAAAAAAAACAAACAGTACACCATAAAATAAGATACTGATTAACAAGTCTAATTTATTTATTTTACTAGTATTTAAAATTTCTTTTAACAGCTCTGTTTTTTTAATGACCATTCAAAGACTGATAGTACTATTCTGTTACTTATGATGCCTGCAAAGAATGCGAAAAACGGGAACAGTTACAAATATCGACCAATGCAAGATCCAACTAAAATGCAAGATGGCTTCACAGAATTGCAGGTAATAACAATAGCTCTGTCTGTGTATGAAAATAATACTAGAATGATGTAAATTCATCTATTTCGATTTCGACCTCAAATATTGGATTTAGTTAATTTCTTTTAATGATGACCTACACCATGGAAGTATCACACTACACCATGGGAGTATCACAATACACCATGGGAATACCACAATACACCATGGGAATACCACAATACACCATGGGAATGCCACAATACACCATGGGAATACCACAATATACCATGAGAAAACCACAATACACCATGGGAAAACCACAATACACCATGGAAATACCACAATACACCATGGAAATACCACAAAACACCATGAGAATACCACAATACACCATGGGAAAACCACAATACATCATGGGAATACCACAATTCACCATGGGAAAACCCCAATACACCATGGGAATACCACAATACACCATGGGAATACCACAATACACCATGAGAATACCACAATACACCATGGGAAAACCACAATACACCATGGGAATACCACAATACTCCATGGGAGTACCACAATACACCATGGGAATACCACAATACACCATGGGAATACCACAATACACCATGAGAATTCCACAATACACCATGGGAAAACCACAATACACCATGGGAATGCCACAATACCTCATGGGAAAACCACAATACAAGTACCACAAATTGATCATCATTGATTTCCACAACACTTTTCACAATGAAAAAACAAACATATTCATAAAAATGCTGTGTCGTTTCACAACTTGACGATAAAATTTTTTGGCATTTCGAAAAGTAATACTCAAAAGAAATATGGATTACTTCTGTATTGCAACACCAGAGTTCATCCTGAGTAAATAACAGAATAGAAAATATGTGAACCATGATCTGTACGCTCGCCCGTCGTGAAAGCGGGAACCAATGAAATGTGCAATGAAATACAATTTTTACATGCATATTTTAATAAATGTCATCAACGCTCATTAAAATACCTATACTCGGAGATGCCCTCAACTCATTAAATGTCTAAAAGCAGAGGGGTGGGCTTATACTCAGGGAATTATGTAGGTAAACCTGAATGCTTATTTGTTTGAAGTTGTCAAATTTAAATTTATTATTCTCACCAAACTTACCTTGTGATATTGCAATAGTAATGGTGCCATCTGCATGAGAATTGATATTTTCCATGGAGCCATGTCAATTAGGAGTATTCTTCATTTAGCTTTATCTTGATCGCTTTTCTCACAGTAGTATGTTGCTAAGCATATAAATGTTATGTTGAAATTGACTTTGTCTTGTTTATTCCAGTTTCGTAAGCCTCCAGTTAAAGTTCCATTAAAAGCCATTGGTCTTGCGGTATTTTTATTCGTGGTTGGATCTGCTCTTATTATTGTTGGATCTTTACTTCTCTCGGGTTACATAGATTCAAAGGTAAGACAGAATGTTGTAAATGTAAACATGGTAAGGGTGGTAAACAGGTAAACATTATCCAAGATTCCCAAACTGGAGTATGATGCCTCACTGATGCACTGACATTTTTTGTGATGCAACTTGTTATGCCCATTCACCGGCATGACAATGATGCAACATGTTTCCATTTTCTATTTGAGGATTTGTGATTTGATTACCTAATACAGTCAAATCTGTTTATAGCGACCACCTAAGGGACTTCACTAAAATGGTCTTTATAGACAGGTTGTCTTTATATGGACGTTGGATTATTTTCATGGATCACCAACTCTTACATTGACATTTTTTATGGTACTGTTGGAACAAAAACAATATTTTTGATCAAAATCAATGTTTGAATTGAGGAAATTAAAAATTGTTTCATAAACTGGATGCTATTATTTTTTTTGTTGATAAATAAAGGCAAATCTGCAAAAATATTGTGGAAAGGTGGTCATATAAGACAGGTGGTTTTTATACACTGGTTGCTCATATGTCATGCTTTGGGACTGCCTAAAAGTGATCACTATAAGCAGGTGGTTTGACTGTATAATAAAAATTAGTGTAAAAACATAAGAAATCCACTACAGCAAAACACAATTTTTAATTTTTGCCTGAAGACACAAATTGATTTTTGCCATTTTGTCTTAAGATTCTTACAAAATCAGTCCAGTTACAGGGCATACTGGTTGCCAACATGAATTTGTTTAATGTATAATTCTATTGTCAATGAATTATTCCCCTCTTTCCCAATAGTTGTATTAATGTTACACAGTCTTAGCAAAAACAAACATTGTGCCTACTGGTAGGAGCTATGTGTTTATAGTTCTTGGCTAAAATTGTTACGGTAATAATGAATTTTCCTTCTGGAAGTGAGGTTCCCATTTGATTAGCTTTGCTGTCGACTTTGTCGAGCGGAGCTTATCATATGAGTGATTGTCCGTCGTCGTCGTCGTCGTCGTCCGTCGTCCGTGTCAATGTTTTACTTTTTCGACTTCTGAAAACTACAAGCCTGAATGCTTTGATACTTGGTGTATATGTCCTTGGGTAGACCTCTCTTAGGTTTGTTCATTTCATGTTGATATCTTCAATTCTATTTTCGACTTCTTGTTAAAAACCGTAAGTCCAATTGCTTTGATATTACATATATAGATACTACATGTAGGACCTCTCTCAGATTTGTTCATTTTGTGATGATATCTTCAATTCTCTAATTTTGGTGAATATTTTTGTCATTTTTGGTAAAAAGTGATATTTTCGACTTCTTGTTGAAAACCGCAAGTCCGATTGTTTTTATATTACATATATAGGTACTACATGTGGACCTCTTTCAGATTTGTTAATTCCGTGGTGATATCTTCAATTATCTAATTTTGATGATTATTTTTGTCATTTTTGGTGAAAAGTGATATTTTTGAGTCCCATTGCATTGATACTATGCATATTGTTCATTTTCTAATGATACCGGTATCTTCTGTTCTTTTATTGAAATGTGCATTGCTAACAGCGGAGCTATCTCAGCCGACTGGCTGCTTGTTTTAAATGTTACCGTTGTTGTGTATGTGTAAACATCTCCAAAATGGTTGATTATATGCATATTTGGGGTGTGCGGAGGTCAGTGGGGGGATGGTCAGCAGCACATACTCATATTCAATGTCTTTTGCATTTTTGTTTCAGTACTCTGATCGTACATGGCCGGTGTTAATTCTTGGCGTATTGGTATTCATCCCCGGATTCTACCATGTCAGGATTGCGTACTATGCTTATAAGGGATACCGAGGGTATTCATATGAAGATATTCCAAACTTTGATGATTAAGTGCGACCATTCTACTTGAGTGTGTTCTTGTAAATATCTGCTTATACATATCTACAAAAAAGATTCATTTATTCTGTTAATGCTTTGGCATTCAGGTGCGGCTAATTTTCGTATTATGTGACTCATTGCCGATGTTCGTATATCTATGCGAGTGAAATATACTGCGTCTTTTAAAAATGGCCAATACTAAGAAATTTCTGACAATTGCTTCAATTATTTGGAATGGAGTCTTGATATTTTTCAGAAATGGATGATGAATCTGTTTATTCACGAATTTATAATTCAAAAAACTGCCATGATATGATTGGTCACATGATGAACTTGTCTCTTTCTCTTTCTATCACTAATGTAACTGCAGTAAAACATGAAGTGTTTTCTCTACCTTAACTTATCTTATGAAAAGTGTGCAGTTCATAAAATAACATTAGCAGATATCCAGGGTTAGTGGGGAACCAGATATGTATTTGCATATTACAGAATATGACATGGCGGGAGTGTGTACAAATCTTTTGCTATCCATTGCAGTTGCTGGGTTGGTGTGACTTGTTAGCTTATGTATATATCTGGTAGCATCGCTTATGTGTGGGCTTTGAATATGAACACAACGTTCAGCACTAAAATGAGGTTTGATTGGCAAACCTTATTGACTGGGCTGAACATCACTTACATAAAACGTAAATTGCAATTGACCACACTGTGATGACGCATTGGTTGTGGAATAGTGAAAAAGGGACACTGCGTACACAATATGCAAATAACCTTTAATGAAGTTACGATGTAGACATATCTCATGAATATTATTTGAAAGTGCAATTATTAATAAAAAACATTTATTATGAAACACCAGAATCGTGTATATTCGGTCTTGACCCCCACTCCCCCCACTCACCAAATTTAACAACTGTTTCAGGTCTTTACACTGTAGTCTGGTTGAGCGTAGCAAGCCTAAATATATCCATGCATCAAGTGAGCTCTAACAGGAAGTAAAAATAAATATTTATAGTTTTGTTCTGAATCAATATTGAGCATGTTGTCCATCTTTGAATGAAACAACAAAAGAGAACAATATGAGACTGAACAACCGATGATGTAACAACGTTTTTATTTTACTCATCATACATGTAGTTTATTCAATAATCTGCAAATATTCTTTTTGATTAAATCCCAGATAATTTCTGGTCTTATGATTCAAAATATTTTGACTTCTATGTATGACTTTTTTTACTTATGGTTAACAAAAATTGTAAAGTACAAAGTCTTAAATTAAAAGTGCAATAGTTTAAAAAATTATATTTGTTTTAAAAGTTTATTACTGCCATGAATGTATCATATGTTTATAAGTCTGTATCAGTCTGCCATTTCAAAACCACTTGTTTTCCCTAAAATTCCATTCTCATATGTAAGACTTTCTTGTTCTGGTTTTATGTGAAATAAAAATACAAATACATCATTCCTTGCAAAAAGAGAAATTTCCAACATACAAGTTCCTTACAATAATTTGAATGTACAAGGGCTTTATACAAATTTAAATGGTGGTGTGAAACCTTTAAGCTGTAGTATAGATTACATTCTTCAATAATGCATGTGTTCAGGGGTACATTGTTTATAATTACCATGAAGGTATTTTTTAATTATCCGTATTGTTTATCGATTGAATGGTGAAATGATACTAGTTTATTGAGTCAGGGTGAATGGTTATTTAGTGATGTACTTTAAATGTAATATTAATTTATATTAAATTTCTTTTTACACTTGGATAAATGTTTATGTTGTTTTATTTGTGCATCGCAGGAAGTGTTTTCAGTGATCGTTATTTTGATTATTTTGACAAAAGAACTGTACTTTTTCAACCACTAATATATTCCCTCTTTGCCAACCAAGGTTTGTTTATTTGGCAATGGAGCAGTATATTCGGATGATGCCATATTTCAGGTAAATTTGTTGGAAATTATGTTGTTTAGACGCTGTGAATCTCTGCCCTTCAGACCTCTGTCATGTGACTAGCCATGAAGATCTCTATGGTGCTACACAATTTTGGGGTAACACCACCTTGCATGAGAGAAAAAAAAAGACCATCATGCCACTGAAAATTCAGTACTCTGATATGAAAATACAATTTTTTTAACATGAGCTGAAGCAAGGAACAGAAACCAGGACTGACAGTTTTTAATCATCTTCATTAGACTTGGATGCTGTCTTTTCATGTTTTGTGTTTTTTCAAGGAAAACAATATTTGCATACTCTGCACTTTATTTAGCCATATTTGACTCCTGTGTCAATGGGAGTCCTTGTGGTTGTGTTACTGTGTGTGTCTGTTCCACTGATATCTCAAGAACCAATTATCAGATTTTTATGAAACGTTGTTCATAGATGCTCTCGGATAATGCTCAGACCTGATTAGTTTTTTTGTTGAAAACACCTAATTTGCATATATATTATCAAATTTTAATTATTTTCGCTTGTTCCTCATGTACCATTGAACAGATTTTGATGCAACTTGGTACATAGATGCTCTGGGATAATGCACAGACCTGATTAGTTTTTTGTTGAAATCGTATGCATATTAATTATCTAACTTGCTTATTATTTAGCAAATTTTAAGCATTTTCACTTGTTTCTCAATTACCATTCAACAGATTTTAATTAAACATGGTACACAAATATGATCAAAATAAGACATGTTTCAATGATTTTTCATGCAATAAACATAATTTTTGCTTTATGTGTATTGAAGATGTGCTTCTAATATTAAGAGTACCGGGTAAATACAGTATTCCATATTTGTACTCAAATACCTTCAGCACACAGGAGTTCTTTCTAAGCTTTCTTTCATTATTCATTTATTTTTTATGAATAGCTTGGTCACTGATGTGCCTGTTCAGTTTGTATTGAAAGCTTTCGGTTATTTTGTGACGCATCAAAATAGTCCTATTATTGGTACTGTAAAATCTGTATTAGAAGCTGCGGCTTCTATTAAAATGGTACAATGCAACAGAAGGGATGCGGCTTCTGTTAGAACATCTACACATAATGAATATTTGCTTCTCAGTTATAAAAAAAGAATGGGTGCGACTTCTATTAGGGATGCGGCTTCTAATACAGATTTTACGGTACTTGTTTTTATGTAAAGGCCAGTTACTGGGTGGCTCACACTTTGATATTTTTTTGGGAAAGGACCAATATGTTTTTTTAGTACAGATCTGTGTCACTCTGTGTGAACATGTGGCTTTATTGTTCCTGCTTTTGAATATGTGGATGTGATTCTGATCTATGGTCATTATAGACTCATGTTGTTTCTCACAAGATGCAAATTATATCAGGACTTTCAGTACGATATGTTCAATTTGAGTTTATTAAGTAATTTTGGAATTGATTTTAGGCATAATGATAATGGAGGAGCCACTGTCATTCTGACCTAGGGTTAATTAGAATGACCTGGATTTCAAAGGAGAGACTTATGTTTTGAAATCTGATAGGCCTTTTGCAATGGACAGTGTGGATGGCATTGAACTGCATTTTATAATATTAAAAATTAAAAATAATATTAAAAATTCAATGAAAAACAGTTTATTTGATATTCTTTGCTATCAAGATGTGAACAGAGTTTACATAATTTTACATGTAAAGTATTCAGTCATAATTATTGGAAATATTTAAATGTGTATTGTGAATATTTTCATAAAAAGTAAAACTTCAAACAAAATTTCAAGAAAATAAAATGAAATAAAACATCTGTATATATAGGAATCTCGTAATAAAACTATAAAAAAAACAAATGGTTATTAACATACTGCCGTCAGAGGGCGTGATACTTGTCGATATTGTATTATGGTACGTGGCATGATAATTCTCTACTATCAATGCGAGGTTTTCATTGGTCAGTGTTCATAAATTTGGCATTTATTTTTCATTTTCCTACTATTTTTACTTGTACATACGTACATACTGTATTTTAAAATGAAATCATTTTACTCCATTGTGTTTGTATCATTGCAAAACCTCATTTCCAAAAAAAATGTATCACTAGATATTTCTTATAGTGAATTTTTTTTTCACTATTCTTGCTGGAACTGTGAAAATAACATCCAGTGAAAATACTTTTTTTTACATTCAACTCATCAAAAATCAGTGAAAATAAAATTCATTACATAAAATGTCTTTCCAGCTAAAATAACAATTAATTTAAAGTACATGCAAGGTTAAGTAAGTGATAAATACTATGTAATACAATACTAGTAATAGTTCTAAAGTGTCAAACACGAGGAAACGCTAAACATCCTCCAGCGACAGATTTGGTGACATGACTGCCGATACGTTGATAGATCGATGACTTGGTATCACACGTCCAGTATCCGTGATTTCACTTCCGGACGAACTACCGGAACTGAATTGCGACTGTAAAAGACAGAGTAAAACTACGATTATAATATGAGGGGTGATAAGTTAAACATAGTAAATATATATCCGTTTTAAAAAATAAGTAAAATATAAGTTAAGATTTGTATCAAAGGCAAAATACACGTACAGTTTGTAATTAAATTTAATTTTACTTCATGTCTTAATTTTGACCATTTACTAGTATTCATTTACATGTGTAGTCGTCGTGCAAAATCAAGTTTTTTTTTTCTTTACCAGCGTCAATTTATTTCATAAACCCCCCCTAGCCAATCCAAAGTTCCCCTTCACTATCTCTGTTGATCAAAAATTGAAAGGTTTCACTCACACTAGAAGCATCTTGGATTTCATCTTGACGATTTAATGTTTGTATTACAATCACTCTATCGTTATCATAATCGGGCAAATTCTCATCGCTGTTTTGTCCTCTTCGTCTTTGTTGCTGGACCGGGATGTCGTGATCTTGGAAGAATTTACTCGTCTTCACTGGCCACGTTCGGTTACAAATATACAAGACTACACCGTAAAGCATGCAGAGAATACCTGTATACACATACATATAAATATACAGACAATAATTTCACTGCTGGTGTTTTGTTAGTGCTATGCATACACACGTGTTCTGGGGCTTGTCTTATGCACAATACTGATTTTGAATTATTCCCAAACTATCGCCTTGAGACAACAGCTCATATTTTCCACCTTACTTGCATCGCACCAATCACGCCGATGAGCCGATGAGTAAACGAACTTTGCCTGGCAAAAATTTATTAATTTATTTATTTATTTAATCTAAGTATCTTCATTTCAACATTGTCACGACTTCGCTTATTGATATAAGTTTGATCTGAACTTGATCATGTTAGAAAACTTCAAGTTGAAAAGATACAATTCTATTTCCACGTCAGAAAGCCTGCATATGATAGATTATCTAATACGTAAAACACCATATTGATATTAAAGATAATCTTTCTCAGATCCAGAGTTTAACTTCTTCCTGGGGCTAAACACCGAAACTGAATCGACCGATACCTGGTGTATGTGCATCTAGAAGACAACATGCACTAGCCGAGTTTTACTCACTAACGGATGTGACTTTGGAAGAACTTTGGTTGAAGTCACCAGGTTCCCGTTTTGAATCGGGCCTGTTTGGCCACGGGATAGCGCTTTTAAATTTTCATGATGACAGAAGGTCACACAGTTCTGTCATGTAGCAAAATGTTACGATAAACATGATAAGTAACACAAACACTTGCAATGCGTGTCATCCAACACAGTGGTATTTTATTAGAAAGTTGTCTTAGTATGATTTCATTTTATTTTATTATGGTGACGTACCTGTTGATAACGTCATCCAATAGCACCAGCCATAGCGGAAATGTAGAACATCGTCTGCGAATGGTATACTCAGTATTGGACCCCATCGTAAGATAGTGAAGAGAATATTGCCCCAAATCAACCAAAATCCGGTCAGTACCATGCAGTACGCAGCGTAGCGTATCATCATAAATAGCAAAATATTTGCAATGACCCAAGTGGGGAATGCCGACCTACACCAACAAACAAAAACAAAGTTAAAACAACGTCAGTCATCTGGTGGCGCTATAGCAGTTTCTGGGGAGAAACGACACTGCATGTCGTATGTTGCTGGATATAATAGTATATTATTGTGAAAATAAGATAAGACGTGGAAATTTATTTCTTAAAGATATGTTTCATTTAAGAGTCGATAACAAGTTAATTTAATTTTTAAATACTCAAAACTTTTAAAATTTACTAACGTCTTACCATAGGAGAATATGCGTATAGAGCCCCGACATTCGATAAGAGCGTCCCCAGCGGATGTTTTCTCCATCTAACGTGAAATATTCTGCGATCCATAAAATAGGATATGGAAGTCCCCTGTATTGTGACTCCCTGAATTCCTGGTTGATTTGTCCAGCTGTTAAAACGAAACAAATACAATGTGAGTGGACCAAATTGACTCAGGCTACTCGGGATCACGTGACAAATCGAGGCCGAATGAAATCGCACCACGCACGGCTACTAACCGTGCATCACGAAACACGTAACCGGGAAAAGGTTTCACTTACGGCACCTGAACATGTCATATCATTGTAAAGTTGTCTACAATACGGTCACAATGCAGTTATGTTGAATCTTTTGGAATTCAAGTTTAGATTTGTTAGTTCTCCGATTTATGTGGTTGGTATTTTGCATAACTACCGCTTGATTTGGAATCATATGGCAGCATTGTCTCAATCGTACATAACTTTGAATATGTTTGAACATGTTTCTCGATGAAAGAAACCTGGTATGACTTGTCGTAAAAAACACATGACTTTAATAAGAGTTGATAACGCAGTCGGAAATTGTAATGCACATGCGCTTCGAATTATATGTACGTATAGAAAAATTTTATTTTGATACCAGCTGAAAAATACTCTAAGTTATCAACTTTCATTGCTCAAGTCAATTTTACGTAACAACATTTACCGAATGGTCCGTAAAAATTCCTTCCTTGTCCCCAAAATGGCGCCCATGAATACCGCTCGTTGTAGTTGATTCGTTCGCCAAGCTGGTGTTCTGGGGTGCCTATAGTTATAAATGAAATAAAGACAAATGCTTAATCTACACTGAAATAACAGGTCACACCAAATCAAATTTTTAATTTTTAACGACTTCACAGGTTCACTTAACTCGATGATTATATTATTTAGTTAACTTACACGAAGCATACAATTAAATCGTTAACCCTTGAATATTTGTGTGACTTTACCTTTCAATGTTATATTTACACTGCGAAGCCCAATTTTGACTCCAATCTCTGCCACGATATCTTCGCTCATAGCCGCTTTGTATTCAACCTTTGTTGTGATATTCGCCACTTCCCACTCTTGTCCAAAATTTACAACTGAGGGAGAAACGAAATTATGAAAACCTTTACCAAAACATGGAACACTGATTCTAAATCACCAGATACCAAAATTATTTTCTTTTAGTTGTTGCCATACAATCGAGTTTGACAACAAGTACGAGCTAATATTAAATCGTTATAGTCACGCCCCCAATTATATAAACAATTATATGACGTAAGGTAGCTTTCTCTGGCGCTTTGATATGATATTCCGTCAATGAGGTGCAATATTTTTGAGAGATTTGATACATTCAAAATTAAAACGACTACACAGACAAACAAAATTATATTTCGAACGTCATAGCTTACACACATCGACGCCATAGAAGTTCTCTGCCACTGGAGGGCGCGACACATATCAACAGTGTTTCATAACACTTACGTAATATAGTAGCACCAATATAAATGGTCAATAACGTCCTCAACGCACCATACACCCTCTAAAGTTAAAGACAAAAATCGATTTATTAATTTGTGGTACACCAGATTCTCAATTTACAGTCGTCATTATGTATGGTAAGAAGAATGTATTGGTTATCTATCTGCAAATATGATTGTTATTACTCTTGTCACTAACCAACCCAAAATAAATGATATAAAACGATAAAATCTCCTTCGGAGAAGTGACTTATGTGACATTACTTCTTAGACTTTTGTATATCGTACTTAGATATGTTAGTGAATAGTGAATGGTGCCACTAGGCGAGCATCGGTGACGTAGACGCATCCATGGCAACGACCAGAAGCACGCTGTTTGAAGTGAAAGTTATGATCTATTTGCGTGATTGGAGTCATTTATTTTATTAACACTTGTGTGTAGTTATTCGGCAACCCGTAAAATGTTTCATGGTAGTTTGCTGACGTCAACATTTCCTGCTACAACTGGTCAACCGTAGCGGTGTGGTTACCAGGATCGTAATAGATATTTTTAATACTGATAGTACGATCATGATGTAGACATAATGAATGTGGCACGCTTCTTCTGCGCTCTCCCACTCCGCTCTTGTCGTGTTAATTCATTCTTAGTGACTATCACTATGCAGATCAAGTCCGACACTCACAACTCGAGCCACAATGAAATGAAACGCGCGATGAACGAATTCAGTAGTGGAAATGCATTGAACAACGTTATTTGATACGATCTTGTCCCGACATGGCAGTCATTGTCATACCCGACCCACTTTTACGTATAATTTACATGTAAATCGCGAATGCTATAATTATGTGTGTATGAATTTCGGTGGAAGGAGAGGGTAACACGTCAATTATTTGAACAACGTACTCTGTGTCCGTACCCTAAATGAAATATCACCACATGCAGTGAAAGGTAACGCGTCATGTTTTAGACGCGGTGTCAATCGGTAGTTTCCAAATACTAGAAAATTTGGATTGATTCTTGAACACAAAGGAAGATACAAAAACAGTACAATTCAAAAAGATTCTTTTTTTACGAGATGTAATATTCCTACCTTTGTACCTCGTATGCCAGGCAGGACCACCAAGTAAGCGAATACAATCACACACGTGCAGGTTATCAGTCCAACTTCTAGCTTGTCCACTGTGACCGGCGTGTGGTTTTCAACGTAAAGAGTCGGTCCATCACCCTGGCGGAATGCGTTGAATTTATCCATCGACAAATTGTATGTACTGAAAAAAAAATAGTATTCAGCAATCACTAAGCGGTTTAAATTAAATATTATACTTATTCGTATTAGTAATGTGTGTGACGATGTATGTATGAAAATGAGAAGTGGTCGACGATTTATTTTTTCCGGAATTTCAAAATATTATGCACTTCGTAAAATGAAAAAAAACACGTTTATGCAGTTTGAAGGAAAACTAATTAAAAACTTAAATTTGGGGTACATAATTAAAATAGTTAATGAAAGAGAAACGCATACATATTACTTACCGGTGAGCTGTCGGGTGAAGGTGTCGGTATGGGGGAGTTACGAGTACAAAATAAAGTAATACGCAAGTTAAGAGCAGGTGAAAACTTTTCCATGATGTAATCTATACAATTAATCAAGAATGCACAACTTTAGATCGATCGAGCCAATTAGCAAATGGAACCTAGGTCACGTGAGGGTGCATTTTTTCCTTGTTCACAGCGTGGGGTTAGTTTTCACAGTAACAGTAAATGAGGTCATATTGGTGGCGTAACGTGCACAGTATTTTGTTCCATTTTGTTCTTAGAACTGCTGCAGTAAAAAAGTATCAGGGACTGGCCCGATATCTAACCTAAAGCTACCCGCAACAGATGTTTGTTCTCCTGTAAACAATAATAGTAATCATTCACCTTCTTGTGGCGCGAGTTACGTAGGTGACTGTAATCTCACTTTGATTCTCCTAAAACTCACAAATTAAATCACTTAGTTTGTTTTTCGATTCTCTATATTATAATTTTTGTCAAATTTCTTACAAATCGTGTGGCAATAAGTCAATAATTTGTTGTGAATTTTACATTTATATTGGTTACGATTATTTCGTATTTTTAACAAACTAACATCCAATTTACGATCAATGTCGACAAATAATGCTTCGGGTATTTATAACGGGTTTCCTTTGGGCCACAAGCACGGGCAGACGAATTCATGCTATTTATATACTCGTAATTGGAACCCACCCCACTCTCTCTGTCTGTCTCTCCTGAATGTCCTGTTGGCAAATATGGTTCAGTCGATTTCTTATCATAATATGTTTGATACCAGTAACAAGTGTATTAGGCGCGTCTGGGTAAAGAGTGTTGATGTTGTAAAAGTCATAGGAATAATATATATATATATATATGAATAAAAATGAATATTATAAGGAGGAAATCGTGAGTTTAAACGAACCCTCCATTGTGCGCATCTACAGTAAATTCTAGTTTGGTTCGTCACGTACTAGATCTGGAAAAATACGACAGAAATGTAATTCGTCCTCGACTATGTTTGCTAAACAGAATATACACAGTCTCATAGTCATGGATTAAAGGGAGGTGGTCGTCGCGCAGCGCGTGTTCGAATTTTATGTAAAAAAACAATGTATTTTACTTGCGTGCGTCGCCATATTGAACACGAGGACGCGGCGCGGTGAACACCGCCCTTTAAAGTTTAATTTTAAAAAGGTAGAAGCCTACTCATAAATTCAAATATCCAAGTTCATTTTGCAATAAATTGTACCCTGGCACGGGCAATATAAGGATATTGACTTTAAAACAGTTGGGGTCACCAGCCTAAATTTCGAGAAAATTATGGTTGTATTTTAGTGAATAGTTGTCATTTTGTCAGTATTATAACGCTTTATATCTAAAATTGTAGCCTGGTGACATAGGCTGAAAAAAATATTAACAATTATTGCAATTGTTCGTTAACATTGTGCTTTATGGAATTGTTCTATAAAATAGCGATTAAAAAAAAATATTAGAACCAGTTTCTCAAAATACGTCACTGTAACACACAGAAGAACGTTATTTCAGGGTGCCATGGGGCAATAGCTCCATGATTTTATTTGATAAGCCAATAGATATTGTCATGCGATTTATAACCAATTTTCTCACAGAATATGCGTCTACTTAACACAGGAATGAAGTCGGCAATGTTTATACAACCACCTGAAATAGTTTGACTGGTTGAAGTGATTTCTGATCTTTATGTTAAATAACACAGTGCCAATCTTATGAATTGACTGAATTATTTTTAGATTCGATTGTCACGACATGAGTTCATTGTCCGGATGATTGCGTCACCATTACTTATAGCAAAGTCATTCATATACTTTAGTTTTATGAGCACACAATCGTTTCTAAATCTGACAATTGCGACAATAAAAAGAATGCAGTGGGCGGAATGTCACGTAAACGTGTATGGATTGCTTATCGTTCCACACCAGGAAATATCAATAATGAATGCCAGTCTTAAATAATGAGCTATTTTTATTCATCTATATATAAACAAGTAACAACAAGTAACTTGGCGACGTAACTTAATAGTTTTTATTCTCCACTTTCGATTATTAATTTTAAATAAAAAAACTCTATTCGAATACGGATATGTTATCTCTCTGCTTACTCAGACCATGGAAGGTACTAACGTTAGTACCTTCCATGCTCAGACACATGTCTCCTGTCAGTTACATACTCTTTGATAGTTACAATAATCTGAGTGGTAATTTGATTCCAGTAGACAGGTTTCTTAAACTTGTCGGATACACGTTGCCCAGTTGGTGAATGTACATTTAGTACGAAGTTTGTTGGATTATTAAAGGGACACGATCGTCGTTCGGCGCTACGCATGCACTACACGAAGTACGGGCTAAGTCCCATATGTTTGCATATCGGATAGATCTAATTGCTTTAACACAAGGGAGGAAACGCCCAAACTAGTTATGAATATACAGAAATCTTCAGTCATTTAACTAGGATTACTCAGTACAATAGTAAGGAAGGTATACATGTTTGTTCTATGGCTATAAAACAACACCGAAGCAAATTCAGAAAGTGCAGATTGCAGAATAACAGGAAACAGCACAAAGTCTTATTGTCAGTTCATTTTTTTTTCTCGATAAAAATAATAGATATGTTCACGTTAATTGTCATGCCAGAAATGAAATACTGAAATGAATAGTTGTCAATATAATAAACGTAGAATACTATGTCGTTTTGATCGCTTAGCCCGAGCTAAGCGCCCATGCACACTTTAGTTAGTTCGTCTGACCTCTTAGCCCGTACTAAGGAGCTGTGTGTGAACGCTACTACTAGCGTTTGGGGTGCTTAGTCCGATAGCGTTTGCACACAATTCATTAGCCCGTGCTAAGGATCTGGACCGGGTCTTAAAAACTGGCCAGATTTAATCTGTACTCAGCGTTTAGCGTTCACTCACGTTTTCTTAGCACGGGCTACGGTATTTGACCTCTTAGCCCGTGCTAAGGAACTGTGCGTGAACGCTTATTTCAGTTTTCTCAGTATTTGTATAACTACGATTTCCATAGTCCTCAGACTAATCTGAGATAATATATACTATACTATGCTATGCGCTCGTGATTAATATGCCGTAGCCATCACGTGACCATTACTTAACCGATTTGTATCATGACTGTCGCGAATTGGAAAATACTCATTCAAGTTGTCGCTGTAATTACGTTTTGTCTAATTTGTAGGAAATGTTTAGTCAAATTGCCGATACTTGGACAGTCATATATTACGTCATATCCTGGTTACGGCATATAACCATGGAGATTCTGGAATATCGTTCGCTAAATCAGTCATGGCACAAATAGTTTTAATGCAGTGTCGCGTGTTATAAGGAGTTTACAGAACATACCACATATGCGATTACATAATAGTTCACAATAGTCTGTAATTGTAGGGGAAAAGCAAATATTACATTGTAATAACTTTAGCCGAATTGATTGAATCGTCACATTATAATAATTATAATCAGAATGTGTGTCAGCAATTAATGAAGTATCCAAGGTAAAACACACGATAAAACAAGATGTTATTTTACTTAAAATTACTAATTATTATTGTATCTGGAGGAGAAAACAAATTCAAATCTTAGGTGCAAATGGCCGTCGAGATCTCGTGGAGAGCGAGAGAAAGTCACGATACTTGTACAGAATGGAGCACTATTTGAGCGGCCATTTTATTTACTATTTTAGTATTCTATCTCATCTCTAAATTGTAGAAACGATTAAATTCACAAAAATGTACGTCATGTATAGAATAAATTGTAGACAAATTTAACGACGCTGGGACAGCCAGGTTGAAGAGATCTGTACCAATCACACGAAAAGAGTATTATTTATTATATACACGGAAATAAAAACCATTTGTTACAGAATTGAAGTGGCATTTACCACTACATTGTCTCTAAAGTTTAGACACTCCTATATGTACACAAATATGACGTCATAATTCATGTTAGAGAAAGGTGCAGACAGATTTAACGACGATAAACAGCCAGGGTAATGATACCTGTAGCTCGTACATCAACGGTTTATTGTTTTCAGTGTACACGGAAATAAAACCCATTTGTAACGTTATGGATTGTCCGAATCGGTGAGCCGTGATAAGAAACACGATCCGGGACCGCCAAGTAGTGTAGCAGGTGCATGCATGTTAACACGAAAAACACAAGTCAGTTCTTTAGTGGAATGTATTTCTATAGTAACGAAGCTATGCAACACGTATCGCGACGAATATGTAAATATGGGGCTATAAATCCATCCCGACTATGTCGACAGATTTCACTTGATGATTTGTATTTAAAATAAATTATATAATTATCGCGCTATATTGTCAACTCCAGGCCCATGTGACTGCGTCTTGAAATTGAGTTAAAACTTTAAAACTCTCAACTTTAAAACTTTCAAAATGAAAGATAAAAAAAAAAAAATTCCAGGCTGAAAACCTCTTTTTAGCATTGGTCCCCAAAAATTGTTTTGTGTTGGGTATTAATATAATTGCAACCGTGACAGTGTTTAATGTACTGGATACTATGGTATTTATTTACTTTCGGATAGTTTTAGTTTTAACTCTCCAAGGTTGAAATATTATCGAATGGTATATTGCCAGCCTTTTTCATTGCTTTTCATCTAGAAAGTTGTCACATGGAAGTTTTATGAATATTGCTTTCAATGTCTCTCATTTTAAAAAATAGGTATAGCTAGCCTTGATATCTTAACGTTTTATCACTGTTGTCCACAAGTTCATGTGTGAAGTTTTAATAAAAGTTGCGACTTACATTCTCGCTCGACCGAGATACGCGTTAGACAGTCTGGTTGAATGTTTATTTGAATGTTTAATGTTTACCCGTAAAGCTATGAATGATTAAGATATATTGTAGAAATCAGTTAAAATTTGGTAATTTGGTTCAAGAATACTAAGCGCAAATATTTTAGTAGCGTTTTATTAGAAAATGATAATAATACAGGTGCCGCTTGGAAAATCTACAATAACATGACCAATTCCAAAGACTCAAAAGATCCTCCAATTTATACAAAAAGCGTTTCTGCTTGTTAATCATGCGTTTTGTTACGTTGTGTTTGTATGTTGTATGAGTATTCACCATTGATGGGTCTAATTTATATCTTTTTAAAAGAGAAAAAAAGCTGTGAGTCGTTTTGTTGCTACGCAACATTTCAGTGGGCATTCGTCAATAACATTTCAGTGGGCGTTCCACAAGCTCATTTCACTTTTTCAGACCCTTCTTTTGCGGCCAAGAATTGTAATTTCTAGTCCAAAGTTAATTCATACAAAGCTACCATTGTACGAAGTACGAGGAAATGAAATATCAGATTACATTTTACGCCTTGTCACATGCGTACGGAGTCATTACGTCTGATTAATTAATGAAATTACAGAATCACGCAAATACTTATTACGGAGTACACTCATACCCCTTGCCCCCTTTCTCTTGGCTGTGGATGTAGAGTGTAGAAATGGTAGTGTCTATGAATTTATCAGCCCCGCAGTATATGTGGCCCTGGCTATATGGGTCTATACAAGAGTTGAAGAATGCTACCGTCTTGCATCACTTCATTTCAATACAAGTAAATCTATACCAGGAAGTTAAAATCTAGTGATCCTGGTATACGGTTGTTTAAACATGAATATAAGCCAAAACGTCCTACTCAGTAGCTCGTAAAAGGAAAACTACCCAATGAGTTGACGTAGACATGGGCGTGGACGTCCCACACCTGTATTTTTCCAGACTTAGTTTTATTTATGTTTTTCGCATTGCGGCATTTTTTTTACCAAAACTTCGTCAATACAACCCAACAACCCGTAGCTGAGTAAACAGCTGAACAATTTTGGCGACCGCAATCCAATAACTCTGTCTCCGATTGTTTTTATTTCAAACACAATAAAATCAGCAAATTTTACATGGCGAACTTCTAACGTGTAATATTAAAACTAATATAGTAACAATACGCGCGAGAATTTTCATGACATTTAGGGATCGTGGTTATAGCGGTAGTAATATGATAGTAAATATTTGTAATTTTAAGTTGGGTACTCATGGTTGTCTTGAATTATCGGGAAATTTTTCAAGAAATAAAGTTTTAAGATTGCTCCAAAAAGGCCCATATTTTCATTTTTCTTCTAACAAATATTGTCTATAGGCTAAAAAAGTTCAAAGGTCGATGAAATGTGTCCAAATCCACACTTATGTAACAGTTTTGAAAGAAAATATGTGATATTGTTTTTGCTAGTCGAATGCCCGCGAACTACTTTAATTGTGAATTCAGCTTTCTGTCACCAAAGCCCTAATATACAGGGTATAACATGCATTTTTTTCTGAAGCAAATATATCACTAAGAACATATTGGAATGACACGTGACATACGCCGCTGTAACACACCCTGTCTTTCAATGAAAGATGCAAGTAGTGGTTGCTACGTATTGAATGTTGCTATGATGTATATAAGAGACGTATATACGCTGTCACCAGACTGGAACAACCCGCTCTGTATCAATAACTACTCGATTCTGACTAATCGTAGAGCTAAAATAACTCCATGATGGACTAATCATTCAAATACTAGTATGACGGAATGGAAAGGGTGTTTTCAGGGGCTTTCCCAAAGTTTGTGCACAACTATTCGCGGTACTTGTTTGTACACCACTTGTACGAGCAGAAATTAGAAAGCAGAAAAAAAAAAAAAAGCAGGAACAGGATCAAATGCTTTCTATCTCGCTATTGTTGAAAGGTTCATGTCGACATTTTGAAATTCTTTTCGTACATAACCCATGCTCTAAGTATGCATTGCCAGTGGTTCACAGTAGACTTACTTACGAATAAAAGCCTCTCTTGTCTGCAAAACTAATATGTTCTTCATAAAACATTGAATCAAGCTCTATTCGCAGGAAAATAGTACGAAGTAATTATAAGCGGCGTTCACATACAATAAAAAAACAGATTCCATGTACTATTACATTAATGAGCATACTTAAAAAGCCGAAGAAAATTGACACCATTCACTCACTTTTCGTTAAAACAAATATCGACCAATTTCCCAATATCCCATTAATATATTATTAAATATCCAATATTTTGAAAAAAACAAAACGTCGATTTTGAGCTCCCGTTTTCCAAAGACTAGTGACACCAGACAAAAGTGTATTTATCTCACCATGGTTACACGTTGGGTCACTTGACTGTAACTTGTTTTATATCCGGGTACTTATCACCGTCGACGTCGACGTCTCAGTAGTATTGTGAACTGTATATCAGGAGCAGTTACAGCGAGCCCTTGTCACACTTCTTAGGTGCCGCTGAATTGAAACTATGGCTGGTACTCGCAGAACATTAGCGCTAGTCACATTAATATGTGGTATTGTATCTTTCACAGGTAAGTTAATTTTTATTTTTACTTTAAATAATTCCAGGCCTCCAAAATTTGTCAAGTTAGTTGCTGATCAAGGTTTGGAGAAAGTGTAGCGATTCATTCACAATATTACCTAAATTGTAATCATACCCTAGTCTCGCCAAATCGATGATGTGTCAGGTTTTATATTCAATGTAGGTCTGTAAAACACATCTTGAATTTCCAATGATATATAGAAGATAATACTTGGTA